TGGCGATCAAGCATCACTCCATCACCGGAGCTAAAGCTAACGGGCCTGAGTGATCGCGATTACTCTCATGACCTCCCTCACCAAGAGCCACTGATCTGACTTGCACCTTTTAACCTTCAATTCTGTCTAAAAGTCATCACGGAGCAAAGAAGAGCATATCATAGGCCATTTGATTCAGTTTAGGGCGTATAGGAAGAGTTGAGTGCAGCTGTTCGCATAAGAAAATGACTAATGGTGTTTGAGTGTGAAGGGACACTTACAGTTTCTGATGTCCGAGATGAACACCGCTAATCCTCGCATACCATCTCCCTTCGACACAGCCGGCATGTTTGCAGAGTTTTTTTCTCTTTAGGCCGGCTTCAACACGAAACAAATGACTTTCAGATGTTCAGAGGCGCAGGTTTAACAGGAAAATACACCGAGCTAGCGGGCTAACACACACGAACTCGCTAACACTAGCTGCGAATTTAGTCTTGAATTTTAAGCGCTCGTAAAGCACACAAATAATGTAGCACCGAGAGTGTTTAGGAATAAAATAGGTGAATGCAGTGGCTGAGAGAGAGAAGCTGGGGAGTCAGCCGCGCGACTGGTGTTTCCGTTGGCTAACGTTAATTCATTCAATCCTGTGAACTCTCTTCAATGGGAAAGCGAAGCAAGGCGAAAGCTGATGTTGCGGCACTGACTAATTAAAAAAAAAACTAGCCAACGTGTTGGTTTTAATTTATGGTTACGCACCTAAATGTCGATGGCGTTAAAATAACAATTGATACCTCTCTGGCTTTAAGTCACGCACGGCAAGCTAGCCAAATAGCTAGCGAGCTGGCTAACTCTATCAAATGTTAGAATACATCACCCAAATGACTGCGATAGGACAACGGGGAATTCTACTTTTTGACGAACTAATCTGACAGACCTGTTTCTCGAAAAAGAGATAGCTATATGCTATATTTAGCCGTCAATAATGTACGAGACTTTTCGTTCGGTCGGTGTACCCGGACGGAGCTCGTGACAGAACGGGCACTGAGCTCGCTCTGGCGCTTCCTCCCCAGATGTCCCGCCTCCAGCCAGTTACTCCTAATCTGATTGGCTAGTTGCACTTCTGTCCCTGCCATTCAGTGCATAATTTGTCCGTTTAAACGTCAATTAATTTTTTTTAACCATTTTAATTGGCTTGAAAACAAGATCGACACTGTTGAAAGTATCAAAGTGCAAGTTTGTGGGAATGGTAATAAGTTGCCAAAAGAGAGGTTGTAAATTATACCAATTAAATCTGACGATTGGTGTTCCCCTGTTTAAAGCTGCATGCTATTTGCAATAGAGTGCAATTTAATGCGTGATAAACAAGTAGCTATTTATATAATTATAAAACAATATTGCACTCTTACAATATCTATCTATCTATCTATCTATCTATCTATCTATCTATCTATCTATCTATCTATCTATCTATCTATCTATCTATCGATCTCATTCATTGATGTGATGGTATAAGCAACTGTCAGAATCAAAATCACAGAATTGTCTAAATTTAACCACAAAATCAAAATTGCAGAATGGTAGGGTAAGCTCATTTGCTTAAAGCTAATAAAGCAATAAAATCCCTATACACGTAAAAAGCTATCAGTTGACTTAACTTTAAAAAATTGTGGAAACCCCTTGCCTAAAAATGATTAAGTAAACTTGGGTACATGCGTAATTGAAAAAAAAAAATGTGGAATTGTCAAGTTTTTCAATTACGCATGAAGTTTATTAGGCTACTTAATCATTTTAAGGCAACAGGTTTCCTCACTTTAAAAAAAAAATGTATTTGCTAAAACACATTTCTTGAAACCATCACTCACTTTCTCAAAACCTCAAACACAAAACCAAATTTTCAAACCACATTCAGAGCACCTCTGACTCTTCTGGCAAAATCAAAAAATTGCCTCAAAACCATTTTATCTGTACTCAAAATCAAACAATGCTTTCAGATCATAACCACATGAGTCAATATTACAAACACAGATCATTCGTTAGACATTACATCAAAATCCAACACATGCAGTTACAGAAAAAAAGTATATTGTAACAAAGTAAAAAAAATTGCAATTACGTAAAGAAGTAAATAATCATAACTTGCAGTAGTAGGTGAATATTGTACAGTCGTGCTCAGAATTGATGGCACCCCTGGTAAATATGTCTTAATGCACGGTGAGGAGGAAAGTTTGAGTGGCCAAAGACTCTTCAAGGATCATAGATGGAGAATTGCAGAGATTGAATCTTGGGGTCAGAAAGTCTATAAAAAAAATCAAACAGCCCCTATACGTCACCACATGTTGTTTGGGAGGGTTTCAAGAAAAATCCTCCTCGCTCATCCAAAAACAAACTCCAGCAAATTCAGTTGTCAGACACGACTGGAACTTCAAACGGCACAGGGTTCTGTGGTCAGATGAAACCAAAATAAGAGCTTTTTGGCAGCAAACACGCTAGATGGGTTTGGTGCAAACAAGGATAAAAAGTACCCCATGCATGTGTACAATTTAATAAACCGTTGGATCTTTAATGTTGTGAGCCTATTTTTCTGCTGGACTTTTTGTTCAGATACATGGCATCGTGGATTCTATCAAATATCAACAGATAAAAAATTGATTTAGTATTTTACATTAATGGCACTTTTTTTTTTCATTTTTCAAACCGCTTGTAGTGCACAGGGAAGCTTACCTGGAAACACCCTGGATGGATGGCCAGTCCATCAAAGGAACTTTTTCAAATAATTTATTAAATATGATTTCAAATCTATTTTATATATTCTCCAAAAATTTTATGACAACTGGGATTTTACCTTGAGTCTGGGGACTTCTTGACCCAGGGAGCCATTTTACCTCATTATGTGCCATTTCCATCATGGCCTCCTAATCATCCCCATATATATATATACCAATTGGCTTCATCACTCTGTCTCCTCTCCACCAGTAAGCTGGTGTGTGGTGGGCGTTCTGGCGCAATATGGCTGCCGTCGCATCATCCAAGTGGATGCTGCACATTGGTGGTGGTTGAGGAGATTCCCCCTTCCATGTGAAGCGCTTTGAGTGCCTAGAAAAGCGCTATATAAATGTAATGAATTATTATTATTATTATTAATTATATTGCAACAAAGTAAACTAATTTTGCAATTACGTAAAAAAAAAGTAATCACAACTTACAGCAGTAAGGCGAATAAATTGTATTCTGTATGCACTGCAAGTGTAGTATTGTTCTGAATATTTTAGGCCTATTGGATGTCTGTATATTTAGCACTTGCATACTGTGAAAAAAAGTAACCCATCTACAAAAGCCAAAAAGTTTTTTTGTTTTTTTTTTTAAGTCTAAATGAAAAGCATGTTACAGAACACTCAAAAGAGTTGGCAAATGCAAAAATCAAGGTCAATGAGACTGAGATTCATTCTGCATAAGCATCACATCTTCATGTTGGGTCCGGCCTGCAGGACTTTGACCACATCACAGACAATGTCGTCTCTTGCCAGCTAAAGGGAAAACCCCTCTGTTCCAGATCCAGCATTGACAACATTCTCCACACCTTGCTCTTTCTCGTCCTCCTCCTCTTCCTCCTCATCCACCACCTCTTCCACATAGGCAACTCTTTCTCCTCTCCCTCTTATATTGTTTCCATCCATTATTGGTATCAACGTTCAGTGCAACATTTTGAGTCAATTGTGGTACTCTGAACTGACTTGTATTACAGTTTAATCACATCATTAGAAATAAGTGTAAACAGATTTTGAGTCGTTGTGTGTAAACGATGACAACAGTTTTGTAGTTGTGTATAACTTTTGCCTGCCTGTGTTTAGCGTTTTGAAACATAAATGCATCACAGTGTGAAATGTTTTTTTTTTTTTTTTCATTTTTTTTTTTAAATTATTTTCTTCTTTTTTTTACAAAACAAAACAAAACAAAACATGACCAGAGAGCAAGAACAACGTATCAACAGAGTATTAAGACAGAAGTGAATCAGTAGTATATGTATCCCACTTATTCCAAAGTCTTTCAAATTTGTCCAGTTGTAAATGTAGTCCGAATGTGATTTTTTCCTTTTTCCTTATGTTCATAACAAGGTCCATTCCTTGATTGTCGGAGCAGTTTGAGTCATCCATTTTTTTGTAATGGCCTTTTTCCCTGCAGCCAGAAGTATACTCCAGAGATATCCATTGGCTGTGTCCATGGCAGGAGTTTTAAGGCCCAGGTACATAGTTCTGAAATCCAGTAGGATGGGTACATCAAATACAATTTGCAGCGCTTTGTTGATTTCAAACCAGTATTTTTGAATCACCAAACAGTCCCAGAACACATGATAGTGATGCGCCTCCTGACAGCCACACGTTCTCCAACACTCAGGACTTCCCTGTGCAAAATGAGCGCTTTGACAAGGTGTTATGAAGAAACGAGATAGACATTTCCAACAAAATTATTTCCAGACATGTGATTTTGTGGTTCTCCACTGTGTTGTACATATATTCTCCCATTCCTCATCAGTCAAAGTGAAATTGCCTTCTCTTTCCCATTTATTTTTAATATATTGAGACGAATAATTTCCCAATTTGTTAAGACAATTATATATTTTTGATATTATTCCCCTTGAAAGTTCTGATTTATATGCCTTAATAAAGTGAAATGTGTTTTAGTGAGTGAGAATGTGTTTAGAGTTTTGCGAAATGAGTGCATGAGATTTGCAACGGTGTCTTAACTAGCCTACCTAATCTTGTTAAAGCAAATGCTTTACAGAAAGAGTGATTTATTCGATAAATTGGTTTAGGGCAGGCTATTGTGAATTTGGTTCATAGAATGGGATTTAGTGCTTTAGCAATTCAGAAAAACTGTAATAATCGCGCTACACTTTGGTCCAATGAAAGTCACGCCTTAAAAGATCTAAGCGGAAAAAACGCAGAGAAGTTGAGCCTATGACGGAGAGCTGCAACAAAGAGGGCGGGGTATTTAGTAAATCACGTGATTGTCGTCCAATCAAATCATTTAATAGTCACAGCAAAGAGGCGGGATCAATACAAGTGTGTTTTACATGAGCTTTGCTGCAGTCGTAGTGGAATCCAGTTTATCGAAATGGCGGAGACGGCAGACGGAATGGAGGTAAGCTGGAGCTACTCAAGGCCATTTCGCATAGAACACCTCCGATATGAATTAGCTATTTACTATAGCCGAATTGATATGGCAGCTTTGTTTGTTAAGTTCTGGTTATTATTCTTTAGTCTTTGAACACATTTGTGTGCTGCGTATGTAGTTATTTCAGATGACTAGAAATGTGCGCACACGCATTTTGAGCATCCATTTTAGCCAGCCTCGGATAATTCATTCATTTCGCATCACGTGTCGGCTATTGCTAATTGGCTAAAATGAGTTAAATCCGATAACAATGTTATGTGCAACCCTTAATTTATGGAATTCAATCTATTAGTGCGAGTCCTGATAGCTGGCTGCCCGTTTCGTGCCCATGAGGGTCATTTAGAGCACGCTGGCGCGGTGCTTGAATGACTTATTGTTTGAAGCACAGACCGCATGGGACTGAACACCGCATCTTGAAGGCTATGAACTACTTTTGCTACTTATTGTAGCTTTGTTCCTCAACCACGATTAATCCGATTTTAATTAACAATTGATTAGGGTGTTGTAATTGGCGGTGTGATAAGTTAGTTTCTTTCTCTCTTTTTTTTTCATCGACCACGTTTTCCCCTCATGCGTATAATCTAAATGTTCAAGATGTCTTCCGACGCTGTTAAAAACAATTATAGTGATTTTAACAGGCGAATTAGTACAACAGCGTAACATGAGTATAATTTTTTTAGGTTCTCATTTAAAGTTTTGCTGTAAAATAGACTTCAGATAACTGTTTCAAATAGCTGGTTTTAAAGAGGTAACGTTAACGTTAATGGTGGTCTAGAAGTGGCACAAGCTGTATGTATTGATGGGGTTTGAATTATCTATCAAAAGTATTTTTTAACTCCTAAAGGTTATTTTTATGCCGGTTGGTGGCGACAAATGATTTTGTTGCTAGCGAGAATAGAAGCAAAATTCGTTAAAACGACTCCGAGTAACATATGCAAATCGCCTGACAACGGGAAATTTTGAAGCACTGCACACAATTCCATACAAATGACATCAAAGCATTTATGATTACCTTTAAGTCTTGTTGGGTTTTTCCCCGTAAAAATGGTATTTTAAAATACAAAAGACACTGACAAAACTTAAGTGAAGCCTAGCTCATGCTTTCATAGTGCATAATTTGCGATTTTTCTCTTTTTAAATGTCTTTTTTTATTTGAGGTGTCCCAGGGAGAGAGCTCAGTGAAACCTGCAGCAGAAGATATGACCTCCAAAGACTACTACTTTGATTCCTATGCACACTTTGGCATTCATGAGGTACAGTCCTATTGGTCCTTGTCTCATGAATAGTACAATTAAATGTCTTCAAATCTGTGACCAATGTAAACCCATTCTGTGTCCACAGGAGATGCTGAAGGATGAAGTTCGTACTCTGACGTACAGAAACTCCATGTTCCACAACAAGCATCTCTTCAAGGATAAAGTGGTGCTGGATGTGGGAAGTGGAACCGGCATCCTCTGTATGTTTGCAGCCAAAGCTGGGGCCAAGAAAGTTATTGGGGTCAGTGTAAATCCCTACCCGTTTCTGTAAATGTCGCCTCTTTGTTTTCAACAGGTTTTGTTATGTATATGGAGTAATTTAGCTGAATGAGGTAATTGCCCATCCTGTTAAGGTGATAGGTGGGTTATCATGCTGTGCTTTTGTCAGGTTTTTCATTATTCTTTTGTCATTCGTTCCCCAGATTGAGTGCAGCAGTATATCAGACTATGCTGTGAAGATTGTGAAGGCCAATAAGTTGGATCATAGTAAGGACTTCTCAGAACTTTTGGCTTCCACATTCTTACAGACCTTATTTGCACAGCCAAACCATAGCTTTTGTGATATTTTAAACTGAATTTATTGTATTGTGAGTTATGTTCCTCAAATACTTAACCTTTATTTTTCCTGTCTAGTCGTTACCATTATTAAGGGGAAAGTGGAGGAGGTTGAGCTTCCCGTGGACAAAGTAGACATAATCATCTCTGAGTGGATGGGATACTGTCTCTTCTATGAATCCATGCTCAACACTGTCATTTATGCAAGAGACAAATGGCTGGTGGGTGTATGCTAATGTCCTTAAGCATTGAAGTGTTAGAGCTATTTAACATAGAAATTGTGCATGCAGACCGTAACTAGATAAATGTTCACGTTGCCCTTTGTTTTCCTTTTTCAGAAACCTGATGGTCTGATTTTCCCTGACAGAGCCACGCTCTACGTCACTGCTATTGAGGACCGACAGTACAAGGACTACAAAATTCACTGTATGTGTCAATCTCTGAATGCACTTTTGAGGGTTTCAGCTGTGTCTGACAGATGCCTTTCATTTTCATCTTTGGATTTCTTTTTTATCCATTAGGGTGGGAGAATGTTTATGGATTTGACATGTCCTGTATCAAGGAAGTGGCTATTAAGGAACCTCTAGTGGATGTTGTTGACCCCAAGCAGCTCGTGAGCACTGCCTGCCTCATTAAGGTTAGTTTACTTCACCAAAAATGTGCTCTAACGATACAAAGCTTTTTATATAAACCTTGCTTTATTCAACCTATCCATTCTCTTGGTTCATTAGGAGGTGGACATCTACACAGTGAAGATTGAGGACTTGTCCTTCACATCACCTTTCTGCCTGCAGGTTAAAAGGAATGACTACATCCATGCACTGGTAACCTACTTCAACATAGAGTTCACTCGCTGCCACAAGAGGACTGGCTTCTCTACTAGTGAGTACTTTTGTTTTTCTTTGCCCTCTCTCTACGATACCATTTTTACCATGAGTTTCTTGATTGTATAAACCCTGTTGAAAAACAAAGTGAATTCGTCTTATAGGCCCTGAGTCTCCTTACACTCACTGGAAGCAGACTGTGTTCTACCTTGATGACTATCTGACGGTAAAGACTGGAGAGGAAATCTTTGGCACCATCAGCATGAAACCTAACATCAAGAATAACGTAAGCCCCATCTGTACTTTAATATTCTAAAAGCTCACTTTTAGACTAGAATCTTGTAGGGGTGTAACGATACACGTATTCGTATTGACCCATTCGGTACGAGGCTTTCGTTTCGGTACGCATTACAAACCGAACGATTCGTTGGTCCATTTTTCCTGCCGACCAAAATCTACCACAACATTGTACAACATCAAATGGCAAATGAAAGCGGAAAGAAACTCATTTTGTGATTCATGGACTGTTTATCAGTTTGGACCAATGTCAGTGCAGCGCAAGCCGAGCTTGATCAAGCTACACTGTTACTACACAGCGCTAAGAGATCCAGTAAAGAAAGCATTTGAATTCGCCACTGAAGTAATAACATCGCTGCGAGATCTAGTCAGAAGCATTCACATTTCTCCATTATTAACGGATCAAACAGCGCTGACGTGGAAACCAGGAGAAACATCGTTCCATGAATGAACTAGTTTTAGGCCGTAAGTCCACCGATCAGCAACATTCACCATGGATTTAATGTAGTAACAGTAACCATGGAAGTTTGGCAGAAATAGTAAAGTGCTTTTAGGTATATCACATCTTTTTCCAGCACTTTAAAACTTAAATATTATGTTTTAACAAATATTCTTATTTGCTCATCCTTCAAAGATTACCTCCATTTATAAAACTAAAAGTTTCAAGATGTAGGTAAACTCATTTATTTAAAAATAATTTAATAAATTGGGAATTTCTCTGGCATTTCTTTTTGCTGTATCGAAAACGTACCGAACTGTGACACCACTGTATCGAATCGAACGGTGAATTTTGTGAACCGTTAAACCCCTAGAATCTTGCATGAAAGTGTAGAAAAATATATCTTGTAAATCTAGATTGTATTGCAATTGCATAAAGGTTGATTGGGTTCTAAAAAAATATATGCTAGGGTTTTGCCTTGGTGAGATTCTTTTATTTTTAAAGGTGCTCTACGTAACTTTTAGCGGCCTCTAGTGGTGATGTTTCAGATTGCAACCAAATTTTACAAGAGCGCTCGTGCTCAAACTCATAGACAATACCGTCTATTACGCAAATATCGGCGAATAGTAGACGGATTCGGCGAGCACCGAGCTCGTTGGGACCATCTAGTCGAGCTGAAAAGAACCATATAAGTTCCATAGTTTTTGGTGGTGTTTTCGCGGAGATATTAGCAGAAAACCATCGGCCGCGCTGCAAAATTGCGGACGCCGGTGACGTCACGATCTCAGAAGTAAATCGCTCGTATCTCTGGAACGCAAAGACCCAGAGAGCTCAAATTCGGGGGAGGAGGTCCCAAGGGAACCCTTGCCCGAACACTAGAGTGGCGGGCCTCGGGGATGCCCCCTACCGGATCGCCGTTCGCTGGGACCCCCCGATTTCGAACGGCTATAACTCGGGGAGCCGGGCGAGTTGGACCTCGGGGGTGGGCTCGTTCGAAAGGCCCCGTCCAGCACTACGAACGATTAGAGTCTTGGGAATATTGATCAAAGATTGACTGAGATATAAGCCGATAAACGTGCGCCTTTAACCGGACGTAACTCTCTGACCGTCTACAATACAATGTATATAAGGAGAGAGGCTCGGGAGCGCGCATGCACGTCTGTTGGATTTCGCGGTAAATCCGACCCGGAGACTTCACATAGAAATAGGAATACTGGCCTTCAGAGGTAATAGCAAAACCTGACAAGTGGATCATTGTAATGTGTGATTACAACCCCTTCACACACAGGCAATAAAAAAAGGATTCATTTTAGAAGAAGTTCCATATAGCACCTTTAAAAGCAAATATTTTTAAACCATTTATTTGATCAAATACAGTAAATAGTGATATGTCATGCGATCTGGGAAAACCCGTCAGATGTCGCACTGGTACGGTTTCAGTAAGGTCTAAAAATAGATCTGTCTTTTTTTTTTGTTGTCAAAATTGGGTTTTCAATAAATTATTCTATAACATCTTGTTTATCATCTCTGAATATATCTTGGGAAAATTCACTAGTTTAGTCCAGAAAAATAGTGATTTATAGTGGCAAGCTGAAAACACTCTTTCTCTTTAAGAACACGCACGGCGGAGCAGAGGGGCAAAAAAACAATCGCCCATTTAGCTCTCCTTCTCTTAACACTACAAAGACTGTTTCGCCTATAAAAAAAAACACATAACAGAATAAAGGTCCCGCCAGTCCTGTGTAAACTACAACGGCACGCAAGTTTTTATTTATTTTTATCCAGCGTTATCGTGTGGTGTGATGCGGAGCACAAGAGAACAACAGAGCCTGAAGCTGCTCGCTTAAAAGACCTTGCTCGCCTTTCAATCGTCCCATTTCAAAACTTTTTTCACAGGATGAATTGAGTTCGTAAGCTTTCGAATGATACCTAATCTATGATGATTACTAAAATGTGTGATATGAAAAAAAGGCAATAGAAAAAGAGCGCCAGTCATCCCGCTAGCAGGACGTGACAGTTAATTAAGCCTGTTTTTCTCAATTCCATTTCTGAAAATCATAGCGATCAGCTGACTTCAGATAATCACAACTTTTGTTAGACAAATAATAAAAGAAAGAAAAACAGATTTGGAAAGGGCTTGAACCCAGCTTTAATATGGTCTCAAAACCTTTAATATGTCAAATTTCACCATGTGCTGGGTTTTCCCAGATCGTATCACGTATAGTAATTTTATTATTTAAAATAACTTTTTTTAATTTTGATGTCATTTCTGTTGTGCCAAATCTGAATTTCTAGCATCATTACTCCAGTCTAGTGTCACGTGATTCTTCAGAAATCTTTGTAATATGATGATTTGGTGGGCAACAATTTCTTATCAATGCTGAAAATAGTTAGCCTGGCTCCGCCCTCCTACGCACTTCCGCTCAATTTTATTTTCCTTCAGTACTACGTCTGGGATTGTGCTGTAGACTTTGGTTTCCAGAAATAATTTTTTTACCGGTCCAATCAGCGAACAGAGGGAGTGGCTGAGAACGATGACGTTGATGTAGCGCGTCAGTTTGAGTTGGAGTTCAGTAATGGCAGCGGAGAAAGACGTGAGAAAATCTATTCGGTCCGTTGTTGCAAAACTGCCGAATATCCAGAAGTTAAAGCCGGAACAAGATCAATGTTTGCTAAGTGTTGTTGGTGGCCATGATTTGGGAAAAGTTTAATTTTCCAGCTCACTCCGCTAGTGGTGAATGAGTTAGCTAAGGCGAACGATAGGATGCAAAGCCGATAGTTGTTGTCGTCTCCTCTTGTTGCACTAATGGAGGACCAAGTGAGGGAGGCAGAAAGGTTAGGAGTTGGTGCTGGGCAGCTCGGCGTGCACGATGATCACTGTGTCACAGCATTTGCGGCAGATCCGAAACGACCGCAGCGGCGTATTGTTAATGATTACACCCAGCTTCGACAGTTGACTGAATACATCACTGTCATTAGTGTCAAATATACATTTAGAATTTAGAATTGTTCCTTGAACTCTTAAATTCGATGAACAAAACATGCAGCTCTCGTTGACAGACATCTTATTCTAAACATAATCCTCTGATCATTCGGACTTGTTTTTTTTTATTGCTTAAAACAATACACAAGTAATAACAGAAAACATAATACAAAAACAAACAAAAAATAATAATAAAAACAAAACAAAAATAAAACAGTAGGGGGATAATATAAAATAAACATGAACAAGTTAAGAGAATTACATGACACTGAAAAAAGGAAAATAATTACAAACAGATAATGTTTTTAAGGCTTTTTTTGTTCTCAGACAACTTAATTGAAAAGAGGTATTTTTAAAATTCTTTCACAAATATAAGAAAGAGAGGTTTAGCATTTAGATATTTAGATTTATGAATATGGAATTCGGACTTGTTCTTTCCAGCCGGTTTCGGCGCATGACATACGTCACGACCACACGTTAGCGATTGGCTATGGCAGATCCTGAGTGACTCTGGGCAGATCCAATAGTTTTGAACTTTAACAGAGAACCCGCCTACAAGGAAGTAAACGTTTCCCAATGGAGCGAGGCCAGACTCTCTGTACAAATGAAATGTACGAGAGTCTGGTAGAACCAGGCTAGAAAATAGTTATGCTGTTTAAGGAATCTTTGAATAGAACGTTGAAAAAAGCATTTATTTGAAATGGATGTCTTTTGTAACATTGTCTTTGTTCACTTTTGGTCTTACTTGCTAAATAAGTGTTAATACCTATATATATATATATATATATATAAAAAACTTACTGACCTCAAACTTTTGAACAGTAGTGTATTGCAGGCTTGAAACAATGATCAAAGAGTCGTCGTTCCCCCCCCCACTGCTTAAAATTTGCTACTGTTTTAGCAGCAATATGAAGATATTAAATTTCATAATTTTAGTCTTCATTTAAAACGAAGCCTGTTGAACCTAAAAAAAATAAGGTTGCTACAGTTCTACTAATCTATACATGGTCTACATTCCTGTTCATTTTAGTGGATACATTTTTTTTTTTTATATTTTTTTTTTATATAAATCTATCTAAAGGTTGGTCTAACTCTTTAACCCCTCCCCCTATCTTACAGAGAGACCTGGACTTTAACGTTGACCTCGACTTCAAGGGTCAGCTCTGTGAGGTGTCCAAGACGTCAGAGTACAGAATGCGCTAGATTCCTTTAGCATCAGTGTGTGCGAGGCATTTCAGAGCAGTGTATGCGTGTGTGAAACATGTACTTTGTTACATGACTGTGCGTGACAGACATTTTTAGAGATTCTGTTTTACAGAATGTTGCCTGACATGGAGGATTTTGAGAGTTATTGAACATTTTTAAATTAACTTTTTTTTTTCTTTTTTTTGATTTGTGTAATGCACCAAAGGGGACTAAACATGGCAGATTTGTGCTTTTTTCCATGTGCAAATTTCCTTTTTGGGTGTGCTTTTTCCAAATTTTAGGTGGACCATCTTAGATGGGATCCATTGAATTTATGCATGTGTGCACACACATACAACTGCTCTCTTTTGCCTTTTTGTCTATGACAACATGTCATCCATGTGTATGTCTTTTATTTTTATTTTCCCTCCTGCCATGATGACGTGTGTTGGTCACTGTAAAAAAAAATGCAAATCAGCTGTTTGTATTTTGATATTCCATCTGGTAAAGCTAACATATTCCATGTAGGTAAAACCTGTTGTCATGTTTCACTGTGGTCAGAAGCTCTGCCCAGTGATTTCTGAATGAGCCCATATCATTTTGTATTTCTGCAGTTGTTTTGGACCATCAGTAGAGGGCACGTCCATAATGTGCCATTTGTCTTCTGTGGAGTAACTGTTTTAATTCATGTAGTGCTCCTATGTCCTCCTTTGTTACACCCCCCCCCCCCCCCCTTTTCTTTTTTAAATAATACTTGTGACAATGACCCAAATGGAGGATAATATCGTGCTATGGATGAGATGGTGTAGTATTCTCTTGTACAACTCGTAGATGGTGTTAATGAGCACTATTTTAGATCTTTTGATCTTTTTAATGTCATATAGGAAGAATCTTCATCCAATGGCTGACTGTTTAGTTTAAGCTTATCTGCTGCTCTTTTGCACTATAAGCACTTAAAACTAAGTTTCTCAGACCCAGAGCTGCAGTTTAATTCCACGGAGGAAACCCTTCAGACTAAATTTTCCGTAGAAGTGCTTTTATTGAAGGGTGATGCTTTTCCTGTGTTTGAGTACTTCACATTTGTTCCATATTGTGATCTTCTCTCATAGTGTTGCTGTGTACAACAGTGTTTTTGTCGAGGGGTGCAAGTTCACGTTTTGTGTCTAGCACTGGTGTGGATTATTACCAGGCAGGCATTTGTCCACTAGGAATTGTTTTTTCTTTTCTTTTCTTTTTTGAAATAAAAACAAATTAAACCTGCATTTGTCTTTCAATTATTCAAAAATGCAAACTTGCTAAACTAGCTTTTCACGTAGAATTATGAAAGTATTTTATATAGGCATATTTAGCTGATGAATGATCAGTTTTTCAAATTTTAAATTTTTAGTAATCTACTTCATGCTTATTTGATAGTTGTTTTGAATTGCTTCTAGATTAAGCTGAGACATTTAGGAAATGTTGCAGACCTACACTCCCATCCTGAAGTTAATTTTACAGTTTTATTTTTAATTTGTGTACCACCTGCTATTGTTTATGCTAGCTAGAGCTATATTCATTTGAGGTTGAATCTTTAATTGTTCTGCTTTCAGTTTTTACAAACATATAGCTGCACACCTGCTTTTATATAGTGTGTGTACTGCTGCTCACATATCTGAATGAATGCCTTTGCGCTTGATTTGTTCTCTTTCCTTGTGTTCGTTGGGTCTTCATACTTTTGCATTGTTTTATGGTGTGAATTTTAACCTTAACACTTAATTTTATTTATTATTCTCAAGTTTGGTAAAGTAGGTCAAATCTGACCTAAATCATAAGTATTCAAATGGGACTTACAATTTGAACGGAAGTCTTCTATGTAGTTGGTTCTTACTCAAGGTTTTATCAATGACAATATTGGCTGATGATTGCTTGCCAATAATATAGTAATTTATTAGGTCATGCAATTTTTCAGAAATAAAGGCAAACAAAAGCTAATAGGTGTAATCAGCTGGGTGTCGGGAGATACTGCTCAATCAGTATACAATTGGACGGTCATCAGTCTTTTATACTTGAGCACTTAGGTTATCTTCTGCTGTCATCATTGTAAAACTGCTAAGGCTTCTGCAATCATTTTAAGGTTTTTCTGATGTAGCCTGTTTTTTCTCCTGTAAGCTCTCCACTGTCCGTCTCCTTTTCGTCTGTAAAATATGCCTTACAGCATTACATTTTTCTCATAAGCATTTTTAATTTAATTCATAAATGATTTCTAATCAAAAAATCGTATAACTGTTTATTAGTTTGGCTGACAATTGCTTGTTTGGCTGACGGACAGCACGAGGATTCAACTTCTTTGATTGACCCTTGCGAGGCCTGTTACAAGTGGAACCCATCTTGGAAAACCTCTGTATGACCCTGGCCTGTACTGTAACTCAGTTTCAGGGTGTTACCAATCTTCTTCTTATAGCCTTGGCCATCTTTGTGGAGGGCAAATATTCTAATTCTCAAATCCTTAGAGAGTTATTTGCCATGAGGTGCCATGTTGAACATCCAATGGTCAGTAAGAGAGAATTGTACTCAAAGCACAAATTTTAACTGCTCTAATACAAGATACACAAATTTGTATGGTCCTGTCAAGCAGACATGAACATGATGAATAGGACATGTGACTTTGCATGGTTAAATGACGTACAGCTATTATCACTTAGGGTGTACTCACTTTTGTTGCCAGCTATTTTGACAATAATGGCTGTATGTTGAGTTATTTTCAGAGGACAGTACATATATACTGCTATACAAGCAGCACATTGACTACTCTAAAATATATCCAAGTTTCATTTCTAGTATTGACCCTTGAGAAGATATACTAAAATGTTTGCTGAAATGTGAGGGGTGTACTCACCTTTGTGAGATGTAGTACATCACCATTAGTAGTTTTAGGAGATTAGAGATAGAGACAAAGAAAAATCTTTAAAAAAGCATGCAAATAAAGTATGCAGGTAGGAACCCGCCCCAGACACATTTCACCAGTCCTAATCCTATCAGCATTAATTATTCAAAGAATGGGATAGGGGCTCCAAGAGCCATTAAAGACAAAAGGTGAGAGTCTCAGTGATCCACCACATTTGACTTGCAATAAAGAAAACAGGAATTGGAAGAAACCTCTTGCTAGCAACTTTGCTTAACAGAATCATTCATTTGATGTCATCTTTACTTTAAATGCTAAATATAATGTACTTCACCTTAGTTTTTCATGTGATCTTATGTCAGGACGTAGGGTCAGCAGATCTTAAACATTCTTAAATTTGTAATCCCACATGTATTTATTTATAGAATAAATGTAATAAAGATTATGTAAAATATTGGTTATTTGGAAATTCTATGATCTTTCCATGTGTGTGTGTAATGAGATTTCATAAGTCAATATAAATTTGCATGATAGGAATTTATTGACATTGGTGCAAAGCTCTAAATATTGCATTTCAGAAGATAATGTTAAAATAAATGTGTTAAAGATCCAACATAATTTCTTAATAAATACATTTTAGTTACTTAAATATACAAATGTCTTATCAAACTGTGCATGGTCAAACATTTCAATATACTCTGTGCATTTATTCATCAAACAGTATGACTGCATGCAGAACTTTTATATGACCGTCAATTAAAAAAAATATTGAAATACCTTTGTTTACTTTTTGTTGTCTTTTATCTCTGGGGACAGAGTAATCTGGCCTGTTTGTCTAGTTATTTATTCAAGTAAGCAAGTGAATCAAATATCTACATCTTCGAAACAAACAATAAAGGGCATGTTTTGCCATGTGATATTATAAAGAAACATTTCAAATCACTCATTGCTCCACCATTTTTACTTAACATCCACAATGAGAGAAGCATAGCATTTTCACTCTAGCACATCTCAGGTCTCTTGGCTGCCCGGCATCGGAGAACTTTGAGGAAACTGTCAATTTTGTGGGAATCCCTGCGGAAGCAGGACAACAGGAAATGGAAATTGACAAGTCGAGAGGTTTTATCCTGGCCAAGGTTGTTGAAAGAAAAAGGGAGAGAGGACAGGTTGTCTGAGGATGAGCCCATCTGTGGAGAAGAGAGAAGGGGACAACAAATAAATAAACCCTGCTTAAAGGTGCATTTTAGATTTCTTTCTTTATATCTAAAAATCACTCAGATTTACTTCATATTACCCTCTTACAAACAACATGCACAATATACGCAATGTGAGCTGTTCCTAAAAGCGCATTCACCTTGTGAACGACACGCTCCAGACCTGCACCCAGGCTGTTGATGTTGTCTTGCAGCTCTTTGGTCTTGCTGTTAATGGTGTTGCGTTCTGGATGTGCCAGGCTGGACGCTTCGGAGGAGAGGAGGGTGAGGGGATCGGACCACGCCAGCAGCAGAGACCGAGCCAAAGAAAGCAACTCATCCTCCTGCAGAAACAATCACATAAAACTTCATTCAATGCCCATCTGTTCCGCTTGTAATTACACACAAGACCACAAGAGGTAGATGTTTACTTATGGTTGTCCTTGTCCCTGCCTGCACGTTGAAGTTGGTATTAAAAACGGAAGTTGTAATATTGTGATTTATATCGGAGTGAAACGGCCTCTAGAGCAATTAAAAACTGTAGGGTGCAACTTGATTTTGTCCATTGGTGAGTTTAAAAGGTAGGTTCACGTAAAGCGATTGTGTCTCTTAGAAGACTTGGATTAAACAATTTGATAGGCTACCCCCGGTTTCACAGACAAGGCTTAAGTCTCTGCTTAAAGGAGCTGTATGTAAGATTGTGGCCAAAACTGGTACTGCAATCACTTTCAAATTACTGTAGAGCGGTGTATCCCCTCCCCCTCCTCCCTGACTCAAGGTTGCCAGATAGGCTGCAGGATCCCGCAGGAACGTGACGAGCTGCAGCTGTGGTAACTAGAGCAGAGCTGGCAACCCGGATGCTGCAACACTATTGACTTTGTGATTGGTAGATAGGTGGAGGGTGGAGCATCAGACCAAAACACAACATGACAACATCAACATCAGTTGAGGGCTGCAACTGCACTTTTTAAATGACAATATGCTGGCCGGACAACTGTTGTCAGTGATATAAGTATTTGAAATGTACATGATTTCTTAATGTCTAGTGACATATCAGGGCCATTTTATGATTAATTGAAATACATTTCTTACATACAGCTCCTTTAAGTCTAGTCCTAGTCTAAAATGCATGTTTCAGCTGTTTTAACTGAAAGCACTGACATATTTTAAAATATGTTTTTATTGTTGATATGTTTTATTGTTGATATTGTTTTTTGTCAAGA